TGATACTCGTCTTCTTCGACGCTGTCGTACACAATTCCTCCGCCTGATGGAGCGCATCGCGTGAGCTTACCTCGCAGAGGGTAAGAGTAGTCTTTTAGTGATTGTGATAGTCACTCACCTGCTTGCAGATAGGCGGTGTGACTTCCGCTTTCCGTCTCATCCTGCCCCTCCTGGGGCAAGAAGCACATGGTACGAATGGCAATGCAAACGTCCATGTCGTCGGAGTAGTCGATATGACCCACAGCACCAGCGTAGACGCCTCTGCGTTCGCCTTCCAATTCGCTGACCAATTCGATCGCTCTGATCTTTGGCGCACCCGACACGGTGCCCGCCGGAAAGATGGAGCGCAAGGCGTCGAATCTGACAGCACCAAAGGGCGGAGATCAGACACTGCGCTTTCAGCCAAAGACCGACGAGCAGCACAGCACGCACCTGCTTTTGCCCTGTCGCAAGAAGCCAGTGATCCGGCTCGTCAAATGCATGACGTGACTAAACTTTTCCACCCTCATAAAGCTTTCTACAGTAGTGGTATGAGGATCGCAAACCCTTGAAACATCGTTGCGTGCCAAGTCGACCAGCATGACGTGCTCCGCTTGATCTTTAGCAGACGCCAGCAGCTCTTCGGCCAGCCTCTTATCCTCTGCGAGTGATCACAGATCATCAGTATGTATTCACCGCAATGCTCGCAAGCAAGATTCCGATGAGCCTACCTTCTTCGCTCGCGCCGCGTTTCACTGTACCAGCAATGGCATGGACAGCCACTCTTCCCTGCTCAACTTTGCACAGCGTTTCCGGACTCGCACCGACCAGCCTCGCGTCTCCCACATCCAAGTAGAACATGTACGGGCTTGGGTTGACGCTCCTTAGATGTCTATAGACGTTGAAAGGATGCACGTCCGTCCTCCTGCTCAGTCGCTGAGAAGGTACAGCTTGGATGATGTCGCCAGCTATGATGTGCTTCCTTAGCTCCCTCACAAAGCGAACGTAGCCCTCTCTGCCTACATTAGACACTGCTTCGGTTCCAGGTCGGACCAACCGCTGCTTCGGCAACGGAGTAACTGGGTCCAATAGCCTCTCGACCAGCGCTTGTACCTGCAAAGCAGCTCGCGCATAGAGCCTCTGCACCTCTGCACTTGCTGTTGACTTGTCAGCCCGACTGGCATGGTCATCCGGTAGATGGACGTGAGAGATGACTTTTAAGCTTTGAAAGGTGTGATCAAAGGCGATGAGGTCGTTGCAAAGCATAAAGATGGCTTCTGGCACGCCCAAAACATCCTTCATAGGTCTGGCAGTGCGAGGCTCGAAGTGGGCGATGGCGTCGTAGGATATGTAGCCCATGGCACCTCCTGTGAAGCGAGGTAGATTGGGCAAAGAGATGTAGCGGAAGGGCGAAAGCTCCTTCTCAAGCACCGCAAGAGGATCCCCGGGGTTGGCGGTGTTTGCACCCGTTCTTACGACTTTGTAGGGATCTGTGGCAGACGCAACGCACCGCAAGGTCTTGTGAGTCGCGCGTCCGTCTCACGCCCACTTGAAGCAACCAATTCTCGCCTGGCCAGCTCACTCACCCGCCCCCACGAAACTCCATCTGCCAATCTTCTCGCCATTGGTGACGCTCTCGCACAAGAAGCTCCTTCGCCTGGTATCGGATCCTCCAGACAGTCTGAGGTAGGCCATCACGGGAGTGAGCAGGTCTGCTGGCAGTGATGCATAGACCGGCACGATATTACCCTGCGCAGCACCGGCAGCATGGTCGGCTGTCGGTGCAGAGGTCGAGGGCACTGCTCCTCCTGACGACGCAGTAGACTGAGCGGTGTCCAGCAGCAGCCGGGACACTTCCTCCAAGGTTGGTCGAAGTACAAGTGGCTGAGAATGGAGCAAGCGGATCTCGTCAGACTTGAATGCAGCTGCTCGGAACTTGGTCGACGCATCGCCCTGAGTGAGCTACACTCACCTGCGCCATGCTTCTTCCTCCGGACTGGCTTGTCCCAATGAAAATGACTTGAGCTGCTGTCTACTTGGGATCAGACCAGGTCAGACTTCGCGACGTCGAGCAAGGCCTTCTCTCTCCTTTTGCACGTTGAATCACCTTTCAAATGGAGATCCTCGCGATGAAAGGTCAGAGCACACAGCTTTTCAGGTCACACCACAGATGTCCACAACATCAACCTACGCTGC